CACACTCCGCAAGTGAAGGGTATCATTCTATCGAATCACGGCGGCCGAGCCCTTGACACGGCTCCTCCTGCGGTCCACACTCTCTTAGAGATCCGGAAATACTGCCCCGAGGTCTTCGACAAGCTCGATGTCTGGGTAGATGGTGGCATTCGACGCGGCACAGATGTTGTGAAAGCCCTTTGTCTAGGTGCCAAAGCTGTAGGAATCGGACGGCCTGCCCTTTGGGGCTTGGGAGCCGGTGGTGTCGAGGGTGTTAAGCGCACATTGCAGAGTATGTTTTACCCTCAGGAGTAGTCAGAAGCACATAGGCTGACATAATTTTTAGTCCTTGCCGACGAAACCAAGACTTGCATGCGACTGCTTGGTGTCGAAAGGGTGGAGGATTTAGGACCACAGCACGTAAGTTGATCCTCCCTCAATCTCGGAATCTGAAGTCGGCACCTTGAGTGTTTCCCTTCAGCCAGCTACTGACCTTGACTAGATCAATACCCGAGCCGTTGAGCAACAGATTTATGATGGGCCTTCTGGCCTAGATTCCATTCAAAGCGTTTTCCGTGCGAAGCTCTAGTCTAGAACATCTTAATGGCCTTTTCGCCTCTTAATACATGCTCGCTACTTGTGATCTGCGACCTGTACAAATACAAGTTCAAAAGAACCACCCATACCTTTGAAATGCTGCATGCTGAAGAACTCCGAACAAACCTCACTCCGTAGACAAATACAGATATAGGCGCCAATTTATCATGCTAGCCAATCGCTGTCCATTTTGTCTGTTGACTACTCTGCTCATGTACGAGTCGAATTTCCGTGGTCGCTCTTAAGAGTAGGTTGCTTGCAGCTGCCGATTGGCTTACAGCGATCCCATGTCCTGGACCATTCTAGTGTTGACGCCTCTGGCTGGAGTTGATCATGCTCATACGTTTCTCCTTCTGATCGCTCCAGCTCTAAGCCACAGGGAATAAGCACTTCAGCCAACCTCCCCCAAACCAGTTCAGATCCTTCTGCCAACCATTGACCACAAGATCTCTTCCAATCTTGACCACCTCTTCAACTTGGTCATTCGTTCCCCAACCGGGAACGGTACTGCCCAAGCAAAGGAAGTGAACGCCGACATGGATGGCGATCCGGAAAGCCATATCGTCGTCGATCGGGCCGTAGCCATCAAGCAGTCCTTCAATGAGCCAGACTCCTGCGTCGACGTTCTTGAAATGCTTGAGCTGGTAGAGCTCGGCGACCATCTGACCTAGATCGAGAGCTCGGGAACCCCAGTGACATAATTCCCAGTCCGTCACGAAGAGAGGAATATCGTTCTGCTGATCCAATGCGGTGCTTGGAATTAAAACACTAGATTCGTTAATCCCATCGAACTCTTCCAGGTAAACAGAAAGGATCAACTTACTTTCCTGACCAAAAGTCTCCGTGAATCACTCCAAACCCCTTCCCATCTTTCCGGCCCAGCTCCGCCGCTGCCATGTCCCTGACTTCGCAGAAGATATGCTGGCTTTCTTTGAGCAATGCTGGGAATTGATCGACCATCTTGGCGAGATTGTCATAGTTGATCATGAATTTGATATCGCGCATGACCTCGTTCTTCTCCATCGCTTTGACCAGGTCTTTCTGAGACTCTTCCGAGACCCAAGTGTGGAAAGCAAGCAGCCACTTTCCCAACGCACGACCAATAGACGCGGCCAGTTCGCGAGAGACATTTTGTGAGTTCGTGGGAAGGAGCATGAAAGTCTTTAGGTCCAGCGCTCCGGGCAGGTCTTCGAGGATCTGAGTATTGGTATCATGACTAAATTGAAACAGGCGAGGGGTCTTGACTGTGCAGCTGGTATTATTGGCGGTGTCCGTCTCGGTTGTAGCGGGGAAGTCATTCAAGGCTTTTACGATTGTCTCCTCGAACAGCTTTTGGCTTTAGATCAGCACGAGTACCGTAGCGTCTCTGCTTGTAGACTTACGCAGCGATCTGTAGTAAGCTTGAAGTCTCGCTTCGAAGCAACAAACTCCTCTCCGTGTTTGATGATAATCGTTTTCGTCCCATCCTGGAGTGGTCTAGCGAGAATACCTCGATAGACGAAGTTGGCCGTTCCTCCGCTGAGCCGGGTGAGAGAGGAGCACTCGTAGGGAGTCTGTGAGAGCTCCTGCGAGACGAGTATGGAGATATCCTGGTTTGAGATCTCAGACATGGCCGTGGTGTATAGATAACCTGAGAACGTCGAAATATATATGCTGATGGTTAACCACAGCTCAACTTCTAGAGGAGAATGCAACTCGATAACTGTTTCAACTGAAAATTAAATGTTCGTCAGTAAATATGATCGTATCTACCTATATACTACTCAATAATATCCACTTAATACGGTTCACGACATGTTCGCGCCAATAAAACGCCCGCAGTCATATGAAGCTTTAAGTAGTCGACAGCGGGGACTGTTTTGGGAAATACTTTCGTTCGCCAAGAATACAGACACTTCGTGTTCACTTCAGAATGTCCTCTGGAAAGAACCTCATGGAAGACACTACGACCTTGACAGCTTTATGCAAGGAGAAGAGCAAAAGTTCAGATACAATGTCTCGGATTTCGTTTCAATCGCTAGTCATATCTGCGTAAAGGCATGGACACGTTTTCAATCATCGCTCTGATAAACAAAGATGCCACCATCTGCCACGATAGCAGGCCAACAAAGTCAACAAGCCAACGGACTCCAACTCTGACTCAAGGAAGATACGCGTCCGGGTTGATGTACTCATCGAAGATCTTCTCATACTCTAGGTCTCTTGGCGGCAGCTGAACCGGAGTCACAGAGGTCTATTGCAGTCAGCTTCAAGGTTTCTAACCCATGATGAGTTTGGGTGGTAGACTTACCTTGGGCCTGAAGTAGTTCTCTCTCCACGCCTCTTCCTGACGAGCCCTCGCGCGCAGTATTTCCAGGACATCGTCGTTATGCTCAGACGCCGCTACTTGCAAATACACTTGTTTGTAGTCGGTTATCATGTAGCCGGGAATGCAGTTGATCAGCATCTGGAGTATAGTCGGATGGCCGATCCGACAAGCCTGCAGGATCAAACCTCTGTGGAATCGCTTGTTTTTGGCGAGCATGCCAGTGACCCCCATCTCCAGGAGAGCTCGCACAATGATCGGGCGTTTGGCACGGATATGCTTGAGGATTTCGACATATCCGTGCAATTTTATGTTCATGTCCTGAAGAAGGCACTTGGCGACTTCCAAGTTTTTCAGATGATCCGCCCAATCCAGTGCAGTGTAGCCATGCTCAGTTTTGAGATTGATGTCGGCTCCCAAGCTCAACAGGCGCTTGACTTCGGCCATATCCTTTTCTAAGATTGCATGGTGCAGGTTGACGTGGAGGGCATGCCAGTACCTAGGGTCGTCCTGATCGAAACCTATCTCCGGGTCGGTTTCGTCTGTACACCAGTTAGTCAATCACGGTCAATCTCGTCATCAAGGCTGCCTTGCCTCGTGCCTCCTTGATGTATTCGGAGAACTGGGAAGTCCACTTACAGGTAGCCATGTCAAAGGCACTGGGGGCAGGTATCCTGCGTTCTTGACCTTTGGGAAGGATTCCGATTCAAAAAGGCAGTCGCGTCAACACGAGGTTTATATTTAGTCTATCTCTTAATACGGGGAGATACCTCTGAAGCTTGCCCGGCGTCAAATGCCCCAGTAAGGGGTCCGGTGAAGCTGCGCAGGAGAGTTGGAAAGCTGATATGGGTTTTCACCTGCAGGTCTGGATATTGAACACAGATGAAGCGTGAGAGCAGAATTTTGCAAGGGAAAAGATGCATTTCGTTTTCGTGTGTGTAAAGGCGTGCTAGTTGTCTCGGCGATGCGCAACGATATACAGACCCTTTAGGGCTCACGTTGGGAGAAACATAAAGAGACTTACAGACAAGGGGACTACGATCACGCCCTTTCCCATAATATAAATTACGATGCTCGTCCGGATAGATAACATTCTGTATCCGTCCACTATACCAGAAGATTTCCCTGCTTATGAGATCTATATCACTGAGTAGCTTCATTGAGTAGCTTCATTGAGTAGCTGTTATATACGTCCTCTGTATATCCCGGCAAACTAGGACAGCCGGTAGAGGCAACCAAATAAGCAGTACGTCATATTCCGTCCAATGTCAGTACAATATATCTAAGATCAGCAGCATCTGGACTGCGTCTATGGATTGTTGTTGGTCGATGCTCGACAATATAGTCACGTGATATAATATACGCAACCACCAGTGGTCCAACCACCCTTTCGGATGTTGATAGTGACAATTATTTACACAATGCAAGTTGTGAATGAGCTGTATGGTATTCCGATAACATGAACTAACTATTCCTGCATTTTTGTGTGTTTGGGATGGACTATGCCATTGATATGCTTGCCCGAGGAAGAAAGTAGCAGACTACGCGGTGGTCCATATAGGCCCAGAAACTATTTAAGAAACTTCCCTCAACATCTCCCTCTTGAATCAAGGATAGAAGACTGATACTCCAAGCCGCTTACTTCATGGCTCAGTTTAATACCTTACCGTTGACAGAGGCTTCGAGTTATTCAGATATCCAGATGGGAAAAAGAAGAGAGGGGTGAAAGAGGAAGTTCTACCCCCAACAACCTCCACCATCACGCCGGAAACCCCCCCCCTCTCTCTTGCACTGTCGGGCCCCTCCACCCCCTCACCTCGACATTCATCGTTTATATCTGTTCAAGGCTCCTCGTGTCAAGAAAATCGATGCCATATTGATCAGTTCTGCATTTATTTTATCCACCACGCCTACCTTGTGGTTCAAATTCTCGGCTTCAAAGCTGGGGCCCCGGTGTCTCCCGTCGACCTGCGGACCAAGCATTCTCGTCCCTCGATCCTGCTCCACCGTACCTCGAAGCTTGGCTGCACTGCCAAGTAGAGTCTATTCAAGCTTCCTGCTTTCGAACGGAATATCGTCTCGCTTCTTTTCGACCCTTCCACAGCCTCTGTACGTCGCGATGAACAACAACACCACCCCTTCGCCTAGTCCCGGCCCTGCGGCGAAGACTTCCGCCAGTCCCAAGCCCAATGCCTCGGCAACGGCAGGTACCAAGAGAAAACGAAGCGCACCGGGGAAGTTCTATGCTGTCAAGGCGGGCTATCAGCCTGGCATCTACTACGAATGGAATGACTGCTTGACTCAAGTGACGGGGTACAAGGGGGCGGTCTGTAAGTGACCGAGAGAATTGTTTGCCCTGCTAAGTGCGCGGCTTGAGCTAATATTCATCGTATCCAATAGTTCAAGCTTTCCCGACCTACGAGGAAGCAACTGCTTTCCTTACAGGGACGCAGCTTCCAGGTGCCCGGGGTGCCGCTCCTTCGAGTTCGGAGCCAACAAGATTCTACGGCATCCAGCGAGGACGCGTCCCCGGTGTATACACAGATTGGGCCAAGGCGCAGGAACAGATCAAAGGGTTTGCACGCCCTCGTTACAAGAAATTCTCCACGCGAGAAGAGGCGGAGGAATTCGTCAGAATGGAGCAGGGAGCGGGAGCGGGAGCGGGAGCTACCTTTGCCGGAGGTACTGCTACGTCGCAGACATTGCCCGGCCCACCAGGTCTTACGGATGAGATACCAAAGGACGAGCAGGGAAACATCTTGGAACCGGGCACTGGTCCATTACCGCCAGGTGCGGAGGATGGATTCGATCCCAATGTGCTTTTGGACCCGGCCACAGGAAAGGTGGTTTACAAAACCAAGGAGCAGAAGACCACAACCAAGACGAGGCCGATTGGCCCTCCAGGGATGTTGCGTATCTACACAGACGGCAGTGCGCTGAAGAACGGTAGAGACACGGCAGCGGCAGGCGTCGGAGTCTTCTTTGGGCCCGGAGATACAAGGTTTGTCTCACAATTCTCCTACTTTCTACGCTAAAGTGCAATAACCTGGGGATTCCACTGACACGCCTTCTTCCCAGCAGAAACGTCTCGGAACCACTAAGAGGCAACCGACAGACTAATCAGCGTGCGGAACTTACTGCAATTCTTCGAGCTCTGGACATTGCTCCTCGGCATCGGGACGTCACCATCTTCACAGATAGTCGTTATGCGATAGATTGTGTGACTGTGTGGTTCATCAAGTGGCGGAAGAATAACTGGTTGACTGCAGACCAGAAGCCAGTCGAGAATAAAGATTTGATCGAGTCGATCTTGGTCAAGATTGAGGAACGCAATGAGCTCAAAGTCAAGACTCTATTTGAATGGGTCAAAGGACATAACCGCGACCCGGGCAACGAAGCTGCTGACCGTCTTGCAGTTAGTGGCGCTCGAAGGGGAGTTTCGGAGAAAGCAGCAGCTCTGGAAGCAGCACGCGATATCCCGGATGAGGTTCTTGACGAAGAATTCTAGGCTTGTAGACCTGAGAAACATGTTGTGAACATGTCTGTGATCTGAAGTTCTGATGGGTATATTAAATGGACATTCCGCATCCCACGAAGGGAAGATGCGACAACGGACTGAGTGAATTGAACATCAGATATCCTTTATGTAGCCCTATCCATCCATCTCCTTTGTCAACTACCTCAGGCATGCCTCCAATGTCCATCCTTATAGGCCATGGCATACTCCAGTATTTCCGAGACCGGGCAGCACCGGCCATTCCTCCAGCATGTGATTCGCTCGCCGCCTTTTCCTGCCCACTCACGCTGTTTCTTGGCGGATGTTTTCTTCTTCGAATCCTTCCCCTCAGTCATATCTATCGATTCTTCTTCCTGATCCTGCGTGGACTAAAATCTCGATCTCAGTTGAGCTCTTATGGTTGCGTGCAACGTCCTTCATCTTTCCTCGTTCAGGCAGGTAGACTTGCGTCCCAGAGTGCCGAGATCAGGCCTATCGCCAGCAAACATTTACATGATTGGAAAGAAGATTATGGGAAAACTCGTTTATATTACTATGATTGAATAACACTGGCTGGTGATTTATGAGATTCAATTATCTCTTCTGATTTATTTTTGGAGCATCATTATCACGTTTCTGCATAATCCTGTCAAACCTGCCCACGCTGTGACACCGCTTGACCGCATTCCGCACGATAAGCCGGACTAGCGATTTGTGGTAGATTGACAATCAATAGTTAACGCATAGAGTCGAAGCTGCAAGCAAGGGGCTACGAGTAGCCATGCCTACTCTCTCGCTGATCAACTTCAACATCGTCTGTGCGACGTTGGGGGGTTTTATCTCCGTCTTTGGACTGGTGTCCTATTTGTTCAAGGAGAGGTTCTATTTGTCTGAAGCATGTTCGTGGGATGCCCTTCCTTCTAGGACAACAAATGCATTGCAATTAGTACACTGTGACTGACGGGCAATACGCAGTAATCTCTCTATTGGCGGGGATCGTCTTCTCCCCCCATGCGGCCAATTTTATAAGGCCCAAAGAGTACGCTCTAGGTTCGGAACAGAACCTAGAGGAAATCACTCTGTATTTCACCAGACTCGTTCTTGGGGTCCAGCTGGTACTGGCCGGAATTCAACTTCCGAAGCGCTACTTGCAGATAGAATGGAAGAGCCTGTCGCTTCTTCTGGGTCCAGGAATGGCCGCCATGTGGATGTGTAGCAGCTTGGTGATCTGGGCTATGATTCCCAATTTCCAGTTCCTCCACGCACTGATAGTTGGTGCCTGTATCACTCCAACCGATCCCGTGCTCTCCAACTCTATCGTGAAGGGGAAATTCGCGGACAAAAACGTGCCCCGTCCTCTGCAGAGAATCATCGTTGCCGAGTCGGGAGCAAACGATGGCCTTGGTTACCCATTTCTCTTTTTCGGATTGTACCTTCTGAAATACATTGGAATGGATGGTCAGGGCTACAGTGGAGGTGCTGGCAAGGCAATTGGCCTCTGGTTCTACGAAACATGGGTCTATACTGTAATCTTGAGCGTCTTGTACGGGATCGCCGTTGGCTGGGTTTCCAGAGAGCTTCTTCATTGGGCCGAGGAGAAGCGTTATGTTGACCGCGAGAGTTTTCTCGTCTTTGCCATCGCGCTTGCAGTATGTTTGGTACCGCTGCACCTCGAAGCACCATCAATTGCTAATCATGTACAGCTCTTTGTTCTCGGAACCTGTGGCATGATTGGGACCGACGATCTTTTAGCTTGCTTTGTTGCAGGAAATGTCTTCACTCAGGAGTAAGTTCCCGTCGATAGATCCGAGCATACTTATACTAACGCAATCAGCGATTGGTTTCGCCTGGAAACGATGGATGACTCGCTCCAGCCGACTATTGATATGCTTCTTAACTTGGCCGTATTCATGTGGTTTGGCGCTGTTTGTCCGTGGTCTTCGTTCGTGAACAACGACATCATTCCAATCTACCGCCTTATATTCCTGGGCGTTCTGATTTTACTTGTTCGCCGGATGCCGATCATCTTCGCTATGCACAAGTACATTAATCAGATCGAGCATCTCTTTCAAGCTGGCTTTGTGGGTTTCTTCGGCCCCATCGGGGTTGGAGCCATCTTCTACCTGTCGGTGACCCGTGAATATCTGCGTACAATCACGGTGAACGGCGAGGTCCGTGAGGACGCGCAGAGGGTCTCTGAAGCCGTTGACGTGGTTGTCTGGTTTCTAGTTATATGCAGCATCGTAAGTTTCCACTGATAACCGGACGAAAACGTCGCTAACGTGCTGTCAGGTTGTTCATGGGCTTTCCATCCCACTGGTCAAAGCTGGATATCATCTCCCTCGGACTATCTCCAGCGTTCTCAGCACCAGCAGCCCTACGGACCCTGAACCGGTCCCTATCGCCAATATCAGCCATACCCACAGCACCGCCACCCGGGGCGCATCTGCCAACCGAGGCCGTAAGCGCGGCAATGGGCGCGAGCCTCCGGAACCTACCGTCTTCCAAATTGGACGATCTGTGATTCGGCCAGCATCTTCTACGGAGCAGCCGCAGATCGGGACAGGAAATGCCGAAGAACCTGCTAGACCGGTGAACCTCATTATCCATGACTGTGAGACGGGCGCCATTCCAGCTGCTGCTGGTCCGACTGCCGAGAGATAATGATCTCAGAGGGATCCATTGCTTCCGGCAATACCAGCCTGGAATCTCGTTCCCCGACGGTGTCCGGTCCCTGGACACTTAAAAGATGCTTTGCCAATCCGGATACATGAATAGGCTCAGCTTTTGATAGACTGTTGATAGATATCGCGCGGGCTTTTGCGTCTATACTTGGCTGCTTTGGCACATTTCTGAAGATAAATGCCCCGATGGATATGGTCAAATTTCGTTGGACGCCTTGTTGATACAGCACAGACGATACCTATTACATATTACAGATTCGGGATCAGGCACAGCAAATTAGATGAAAATGTGTTAGATTTTCCTAAAACATGCTTTTGTGATCTTCATCAACTCCCATCCCATCCTTTTTGTCCCGTTTTGACCACCACTCACTCCATCAAATCATCATCGTCGTCATCATTTGAAACACACACCCCCAAAATCACCCCTCATGAAAGCAAATGTCCTCATATTTCCATCATGAAAAGGTTTACATGTAGCTAGCGCCTATCGAGGCAAGGAGTAGAGAACCAGTTCAGCGGCCATCCCACCAGAGCCGGGCCTTCACAGCCGCCAGTAGTCCCGTTCGTGCACACGTCCTCCGCTCGAATGTCTGCCTGATCAGTCCAAAAAAAAAGCCACGCACCCTCTCAATCAGCATGTCTATGGATAAGAAGATTCGTAGGGTCGTCATAAGTCCAATCCACGCCACATATCAGAAAAAAGACCCGATTTTGTCCGCAAGGCAAAACCAAATGTGGAGCTATGCGAAAAAATGGGGGTATATACCGGAGAAACATTCCACCAGATACAGCACTGCGAATACAAACATGGTGAAAAGAAGAGAAGAAAAGGATAGTCGTGACGAACATCATCGGGAAGAAGAGAGATACCGGAAATAAAACCGGTATCGAATGCAAGGCGCCCATCACGGAAAAGTCATCTGAGCAAGTAAAACAAGGGCTGAGTGCAGATATAAGCCAAGTCATGAGGAAAGAGTGGATGGATGAAGGAAACGATTGCTTCCTGTAGCCGATATGCCTCGAATAAATTCGCTCAAACAATATCCGCTTTATGAACAGTCGACTCATGACAAAGGAACTGCGGATGGGTGTATGTACAGCTGACAGAGAGACTAGGGAGGTCAGCAAATGATTCAGAAGTCCATGCATGATAGGTCGCATCAATGTAACGAATCAGGCGTACAGTTAGAGGGCAGTGATTTGGAGGACGGACGAGAGTTGAAAGGTTAGGATTGCACATTGGCAGAGTGATGGTAAGGCGAGCGGCAGAGGCGTCTTACTTTTTCGTTATTGGGACCTCCCGTTAGGTCGCGGCGCCTCCGCCTCTTGGAACTCAACGATGCTTTTCAATGCCTGTTTGGCGTTCATGCAATACGTTGGTAGAAGAGAAGATATGCCACTTTGTTATCACGAGACCCATAGCGGCCGATGGGAGTCCTGACTCCGGAAGAACTTCCCGAAGCAGCGGCAGAGGCCCCGTTCAAAACGGCGGAGGTGGACTTCTTGCTCGAATGGCCTCCCGTGCTCGTTCCATTCACTTGACTCCAGCCTCTTTCATTGTCAGACTGCTCCTGATCATCCTGGTCAATATGACCAAAGATGTTAGCACTGGGGGTATTGTCTCGCTTGTGTTGCTCGAGCGCGGCAGCGAGCACCTTCGGATCTTCCTCGCCGCCGGCTTCCGCGACATCCTCGCTTTTGATCCGGCGAATAACCGTATCGTCGAGGCGAATCCACTCGCGACCGTCTTGACGGCGTACATCTACCGTATAATGCCCGCCGCTAGCGTTTCTGCCATGGTGATAGATGACACCAATGAGGCGGTATTTGGGCAAACCACCATGAGCCATCATAATATTGCGTTTGTTCGGGGCGAAGACCTCTCGGGGAATCTCAAGGTCCAAGGGATACCCAATCTTCTTCCATATCTTCTGCGTACCTCTGGTCACGCTGTCATACTGGAACCGCTTCAGATGGAGAATGAGGACAGGTGGCAGATTCTCAATGAATATTTGCTTAGTGGCAGTGACGTTGGGACCACGAGAAGAGTTAAAGTCACCTTGGATGCTCTCCGGCTTGGTTAGACCTTTCAGAGCGTCGACGATATTGTGGATATCAGGGGAGCCAATGTCGAGCTGCAGAGGCTGATAAGGCTCCAAGGTCACGGAAGTCTTGTTGCCCGGTACCTTGAACTCCGATCTGATCTTGCCACCGAATATCCTGGTGATAGGAGACTCCTGCGCGATGTGACCGGAAGAGCGTGTGACTGCAGCCTTTTGTTTGTGTCCGACTTCTAGCCACCCATCACCAGACTGCTCCTCTTTATCAATCGATTCAGCGGATGTTGAAGCCGCAGGTTTTGTCGTGCTCGCGTTTTTCGCAGCTCGAACGCATTCTTCGTGCATTTCCTCCAGAAGGAATCCAAGGAATTCTTGAGCATCCTGCTGGTGACCTCGCTAATAAAAGGATAGTTGATGAGCAAATCACTCTACCAGTGTGTGTGTGAAGAGCAAAACTTACTTGCATATCCCGGAATCGTGGTAATTGTCGAATCACTTCGTATACAAAGTCCGGGGTAAAGGCTTCGCCATATTCTTCGAGCTCATTAGGTTTCAGCCGAAGCCTCAACTGTTCTTCCGAATGAGAAGCATCAATGACACGGAATTCTTTCATGAACATGATCCTAAACACGATGTCAGTACAGTCGTATGTAGTGGGAAGCATGTAGGACAAACTGACATAGCGTCGACCATAGGAAATGCGCTCTGGACGCTATGTGATGCTCGTCTGCCGACATGATCCAGGAATTGATAAAACGGTATGCAGGAGACCAGAATTTGAAGGACCTGTTCTCAGACCTTTAGTACATGCGAATCAGCAAACCAAATCGCGCGCCAACTTACGGAGTTCATGTAACACATATTTCCAGTATTTATAAGCCCTCTTGGTTCAAGAAAGGCGATCTTGTCGCTGTACTGAGAAACGTCCTCCCCAAGACTGGTTAGAACATCTGCCAGAGATTCGCTCTTGCGCATGACCAGGCCGTTAGACTCGACCGAGTGAGCACCAACTGGGCCCGAGACTCTCAACGTTCCTTTTGCTCGAACAAGGTCTGCCCAGGACTTAGGAGCAGCACGTGGAGGCGAAGCCGCCTTGGCTGTCTCTTCAGCGGCATCTTCTTTTGGTGTCTCGTTCACTGGGGCAACAGAGGCTGTTGCTGATTTAGGAGTTTCAGGATCATGACTCGCGTCGTCTTTAGGTGGCTGGCGTTGGTGGGCTACAGGACCTGGGATGACGGGCAAAACAGGCACCACAGGAACGGCGGGTTTTGATCCTTTCGAGTGTGACTGGGAGCGGGCCGTTGTGGAGACAACAGCTGAAGACGGTGTCGTGGGCTGAGTCGAATCCGCAACCGAAGGAGCAGCAGATAGGGATGGAGTCTGGGGTTCTGATTGTTCCTGCACAGTCTGTTCGACCGGCTTCTCTTCAACTAGTTTTTCTCCCTGATTAGCTAGTTGTGGTTCCTTTGAAGGCAGCTCGACCGAGACAGATGAAATTTGTAAACTGCGACCCTTTCGACGTCTGTGAGGGGTCCTGGCAGGGAAAGGACGATCGGGTACCGAGAGCCAAGGCAACTGCAGTCTTTTGGTCAGCGAAAACATCCGACTGGCACTCAGGGAACTCAAAACACTCACCGGAGCACGGAAAGGCTCACTCGGAGCAGGGGCAGCGGGTATCACATGCGCTGAAACAGATGGCGAAGACACAACTGGACTGGGTGTGAAAGGAACAGGAATTTCCGCAGGAGACTGAGCCTGCATGTTTAATGGGACAGGCACCGGTCCGACGGTCGGAGACATGGTAGATTGAAGAGGAGTCGCGGCCCTAGGCTGTATTGCAAGCGACGGGGGTGGCATGTGAGATGGAGCCATCACAGGCGGCGAATGAGGGTACGAAGAGACAATCATTGGCGCATATGGAGGCTGAAATGGTCGAGGAGGAAGTTGCATCTGAGGATACGCTGGATACCAATGACCATATTGTTGCGGTGAGTAAGCAGGAGGTGGATGGCCGTTCATCTGAGGGTGATAACCCATATAGGCGGGCGGAGAGCGCATGTTGGGCGGCCCTCCAGCATAAGGTAGATCTTGTTGTCGTCGAGGAGGCGGCATGGGTGGCTGCCCATGGGGCATTGCGGGCAGATGATGGTTCATCATGTCCAGGCACGTCGGAAGGTTGCCTCGACTTGTTCAGCCACGCGTTGCCTCAATGGGAGCCATAAGAATCACGAAGTGAGGTAGACCAGGAGCTGACGGAGCAGAACCCGTCTATACGGCCATCGCAAGCTCGAAGGCGGAAACGGCAAATATAAATGCGGAGGTCTTTTTGCTCGATGTCTCTTTTTGGTGGCCGGAGCTAAATGGGATCTGTCAGTTCAGGAACGTAGAGATCGTAGGATCCATGATCTGAGACACTTTACCTAGGAGGAGACACCTTAATCTCAGTAAAGCGACGAATGAGATGCAGTAAAAAGGAGTATGTCACAAAGAGGCGCAGATCGCAACGGAAGAAAGCGAGGAGGCCAAGCGATGGAGAGTCCGATTTGGAGCTGAGATGAGATGCTGTTTTTTGGGCGGGCGGCACGTGCCTGAGGCTCTCGATGGCTGCCAAGACATGACATACTCGCCCCTCCTCCTCATTCTTCATCTTTCTTCCCCTGACAGGAGAGGGATCAGGACTTGGTGCTTCTCCTCTCCCCGTGTTAGCCTTGGGGCCTCTGATTGGTGTCATCGCATGCTGAGTGCATTTCCTATGATCTGCATTCGCATCGAGGGTTGATCTCTCTCTCTCGTGCTGTGGCTCAGTCTCGGCCTTCCATTCTCTTCCCCTCATAACACTACTTCCTATCCGCTCTCCCCCGCCATAGGAGATCACGATCGGCCGTCATCGTCGAATTTGGGTTGAGAGATGTCGTGCAATTCTGGTCAGGTGCCCAATTCTTCAAAAGTCGTGAATATTTCTAGCCAATCCGTTTCCGCGGCGTTTTACTCAATCCCCTCGGTCGATAGCAGTTCTCAGAGGCGGACTGGGGGCTCTGGTAGTTTCGGAGCAGGATTGGCAGCGAGGAATTCGAGTTCCCCAAGAAATAACCAGGCTCTCAAGAGCCATCACAAGCGGCAGAGACGTCCTCGGTTGCTGGATGATGACGAGTACAGCGAAACTGTATGTGCTTCAAAAGCAATCATTCTTTTTTCAGATCTTTGATCAGAAAACTAAGATTTGTTATTTTGCTGCTCAGGCCGTCATGAGATCGACAACGAGTCGTAAAGGACAAACGTCCATCACGCATTTGATGAACTTTTCCCTACCTCCACGCCCGCAATACCAGCCGCCACCACGCAATAGCCGTCGATATGCTTCGTGGGGATTAGGCTCGGGTTACCATGCGATGGATAAAGCTCGCTACGTGCACGCAAATTACCGGTTTATTGTGAATCCCACTCGAAGTTATCATGCACAGGCGGCGAATGCCGATGTTCATCTGGATTGGGATTCGGTCTTACAGGTCCTGGTCTCGGCGCAAACCCAATCCACAAGCTGTCCCATCTGTTTATCTACGCCAGTAGCACCTCGGATGGCTCGGTGTGGTCACATATTCTGCCTACCGTGTCTGATTCGCTATATGCACTCTACTGACGATGACGCTCCTGTCCCTGAGAAGAAGGCTCGCTGGAAGAAGTGCCCAATTTGTTGGGACTCAATCTGCATTTCAGAGATCCGACCTGTAAGATGGTTTCGTGGGCAAGAAGGAGATATCCCTGTCGAAGGCGGTGATGTGGTGCTGCGACTGGTGAAGCGAGATCCGGGCAGCACCCTTGCACTACCGCGCGATGGCGCAGAGAGTCTCAACCCCGACGAGGATGTTCCGTGGTACCATGCAGCGGAGGTAGCTGACTACGCTCGAATTATGAAAGGCGGCGAAGATTACATGATCACTCAGTATGACGCAGAAGTGGAAGATCTTCGAAGGCAGGAAGCTGAGGATGAGCTTTTATTTGGCGACGATACTACGTGGACCAAAAAGGCTATCGCCGCCATCAACGATGCGAAATCAAAAATTAAAGGGATTGGAAATCCGCCCGATATTCAGCGACAACCTGCTATGGACAAGCCACCCAGGGAAGTCGTCCCGGTGCAGTCACCACAGGATGGTATTCAAACTGGGGATACCTCGTCAGCTGAGTCCATCTCGTCAGGCGTGGGCGCTGGGGCTACTACTACTCCGGCTACGACCGGTGACGTAGACCGCGTGGCAGAGGCTGTAGCCAATGTTCAGTTGAACTCGGCTCCGGAAGCGAAGTTGAAACAGAAAGATCCTGGGCGTAGCCGAAGCTCTCATGCAGGCGATCGGACTCGGGAAGGCAATGGTCCTCACCCCCCCGACCATCCTTTTTACTTCTATCAGGCTCTTCCTCAATTCTACCTGTCTCCGTTGGATATTCGCATACTGAAGGCTGCTTTTGGAGATTACGCTACATTTCCAGCGACGATTCTTCCCCGCGTCGAGCGTATCTCAAGCGGACATATCGTTGACGATGAGCTCCGAAAACGTGTCAAGTATTTGGGCCACCTTCCACAAGGATGTGAGGTAAACTTCCTCGAATGCGATTGGAGAGATGTGGTCGTTCCAGAGATATTGGAGCGCTTCAGCGCTGAGACTGGAAAAAGAAGGAAGCGTAACAAGGAGAAAGAGGCACGCGAAGAGAAGGAACGACTCCGCGCGGAGAAGGAAGAGGAGGAAAAACGCTGGGCTGCCGCACGCCGCAGGAGACCCAGCATTGGCATCAGTGATCCACCGTTTTCCGAGCAAGATTTCCAGCCATTATCCAATGACCCTACGGCTGCCGGCTTTCCGCCCTTCGACGCTGGCTCGTCGTCCGCATCACCGCCTCGGCCGTCCTCGCAGTTTGGCGCCTTAGCCTCACCGTCGACCACTCCTCCCGGAGTTCGTACTGTTTGGGGAACTACCGTCGCGCCATCAATCTCAGAGTCGTCAGAGCTTCCCTCGAGACCCGCTCGCCACGACGGCTGGCGCGAGGACTGGGAAGAAGAGTTACTGGCTCACCAGGAAAGGCAGTTGTTGGCTCAGACGAGTCTGGAAGGAAACCAACCTTCTTCTGCTGGTGGTGGCGGACGCAAGAAGAAGAATAAGAAGATCACGCTCATGTCAACCAACATTCAGAGAGGAGCATGATTGCATGAATACCTGTCATTGTATAGCGGCACATTCGCCTCATTTTCTTCCATTTTTCCTGCTCATTTTTTCCTCTTCAGATTTTTTAGGTCTTTTTTATTCATGGTGTTTTTTGGAGGGAACCATTCTTTGGTGAGTACAGGTGGTCTTACGGGCGTGTATCTCTCTCTTGTTGGAGCATGGCATGGAGTTCAATGGTTTGAAGATCTCAACAATCTCGGAAATATACAATTGCCTGCTGAAATAGATGCTGAATAAAGATATGAATTCTCGATTACCTGAAGTGACTGTTTTGGTTGGTTACTACGCGCAAACCTCAGATAGAATAATAGTGCACTTGCTCGCCCGAGGATTGATAGAATCTCTGATCTCCTTGGATTTTCTACGAATTCAGTTATTCTCCTTGAGCTCAGACTGCAGATATTTCTACTAAGGTCAAATGCTTTTATTAACGTAGGATGGGATGGAATGCACCAGTCATTAAGCGTTGAGGGACTTGATGAACTCGATGCTCTCAAGGTATACATCATAAAGCATTGTATGAATCCATCGAGTGACATTTTTACCCCATTCATTGAATGATCCCATTCTGAAAGTAATATTTACCTCTCTTTTGCCACATTTTTATCCGTGGGAAGAGGCCACAGTGCAGTCGACGATCTTATCTCCATTCTCTTCCCCAGTTGTTGTGGTGTCTTGGTTAGTATTGGTCGCAATCTAACCCAAAGTAAATAATAATTGTTGTTTCCACCCCCAAAAAACATTCTTCCGCCCTCCCCTTTCCTCCTCAACCTTCTCGGTTCTTGCTCTACACTAGATAAAAGTGCTCAATTGCTTACCTCTTAACTGGGACAATTTCATGAAAGAAAATCATGACTGTCACACGCTCCCAAACAGGGAAAACCCCTAAGTGAGTAGATTGGTCCCTGTGCGACGGAAGGAGAGTGTGCAAAAAAGAAACCGAAAACCACCTTTTGCGACAACGAACTTGCTGGTCTCCCTGATCGCTCGCTGAGTCTGCTTTTTCTCCTTTTCGCAATACACAACGTTGCGAGCTTACCAGCCTAACTAATTTTTTCTTCGCATAGGAAATTGGAGCGCCCTGGTTACGTCGAGACCCCTGGCCGACGAGTCACTCGCAGCAGCGTCGCTCTAGCATCAGAGACCAGTGCGGACGACGTGTCCGATTCAGCGACCGAAATCCGCGGGAGATCCAAGTCTACTACCCGGAGACGTCAGATAAAGACCGAGGATGCGCCTGAAGGGGAAGAGAACGGACGTGCCAATGGACACACCAATGGACACACCAGTGGACGCGCCAATGGTTCGACGAAGAAGCCACGAGTCATTGACGGTTGGGTTGAGGGCAGGGATCCTAAGATTGACTACAGTGGAGAGTTCGAGTTTGGAGGGTCCTGGGGAGTGCTGTCCATGATGATCGGGTTCCCTCTGCTGATGTACTACATGTGGATTGGTGCCGTCTATTATGATGGCAAATTTCCCCGTCCTTCGGAAGGCCAGAGCATGTCGGAATTTTTCGCACATATGGGCCATCTGGTCTATGAAGGCGCTTACCCTTCGCTCAGAGCTTGGATCATTTACTGGGTATTCTTCGTCTTCGAAGGTCTATGCTACGTCCTTCTCCCTGGGGTGACTGTCATGGGCCGAGCTCTGCCGCATCTCGGGGGAAAGCAGCTCCCCTACTACTGTTCCGGCGTCTGGTCTTTCTATACCAGCATTGCCCTTGCTGGTGTCCTTCATTTTACTGGGATTTTCAAGTTGTACACTGTCATCGATGAGTTTGGGCCTCTTCTGAGTGTCGCCATCATCTCCGGCTTCCTGGTGTCCTTCGTCGCATACTTCTCCGCGTTGGCTCGTGGCGCGCAGCATCGCATGACCGGGTATCATATCTATGATTTCTTCATGGGCGCGGAGCTCAATCCTAGAATGTTCGGTATTCTTGATTTTAAGATGTTCTTCGAGGTTCGCCTTCCTTGGTTTATCCTCTTCTTCATCTCTCTCGGTGCTGCAGCTCGGCAGTACGAGGTCTATGGCTACGTTTCTGGGGAAGTTGGGTTCCTCCTCATGGCGCACTTCTTGTACGCCAATGCTTGCTGCAAAGGTGAAGAGTGTATCGTGTCGACCTGGTAAGCTTTCACCCATGTCATGCTCTTGTTTGATTATAGCCGTCGCAGCCAGGAACTAATTCGTCTTAGGGACATGTATTACGAAAAGTGGGGTTTCATGCTCATCTTCTGGAACTTGGCCGGTGTGCCCTTGAGTTACTGCCACTGCACGATCTACCTTGCCAACCACGACCCCGCTACTTACCGTTGGAACCGTGTCTTCCTGGTGTTCCTGTATGCAGCATATCTGTTTGTTTACTGGGTTTGGGATACAACCAACAGCCAGAAGAATCGTTTCCGTCAGCAAGAGCGTGGTACAATGGTCTCTCGGAAGACTTTCCCTCAGCTCCCTTGGCAGACTCTCAAGAACCCCAAGACAATCACTGCCGCCGATGGTTCCAAGATCCTCGTTGATGGATGGTGTAAGTGATCGGTCTCTTCAAAGCAGCACCCAGTCAAACGAACTGACCTTTGGCACAGATGGCAAGGCTCGTAAGATCCACTACACATGCGATCTTTATTTTGCCTTGAACTGGGGCTTGATTACCGGCTTCAGCAGCCCATTCCCCTGGTTCTACCCCATCTTCTTCGCGTGCATGATCACCCACCGTGCGCTGCGTGACATCCAGCGCTGCCGGAATAAGTACGGCGAAGCCTGGGTGGAGTACGAACGACAGGTCCCGTATCTGTTCATCCCCGTAAGTATTGCTCAACTTGAAACGCGACGAACAGATTGACTGATTCTGGTCTCTAGTATGTATTCTAAGGGAAGACTGAGCGGTTCGACAGCTTTAGCTCGTGCCTTCACGTGGGCACAACAATACCTCAATACCCTCTCATCACGTACAGGGACTTGGTATATGCCATAATAATATGCAGCCGCTTATCGGTCTGGAAGAGCTATATTACCGACTCACCTACATCTGCTTCTTACTTTACAACAGGAGTCTTTATATTCTTGATATATTCGTCCACCGGCAGTTCACTTCGATTCATGTACATCATTAGATTGACTACTACCGGTCATCACTTGGTTTCCTTTTCGTTACTTTTCTTCTCCTTCTGTTTCCATTACTATTACCCCTGTCCCTTGATAAAGAGGGGTTTATGACCCTAGCGAGACTCTATCGCTTGAATGATAATGTATAAATTCCACGGAACAAAGAAGTCAGCGAATACTTCGTATCTCCAGTGTATCATCAGTGAGCATCGAATCCAGTCATTTGAAGCCAACAAATATATCTTATCAATCACATGACCTGTCTTCATCCCTCCATCGCAGCTTATCGATAGAGCAGTTGAACCCCCACCATGCGTCGCGTGAAAGTCAGTAATAGCTGACTGAAAGGCGCAATTGATTCAATTGATTGCGCTAACTGTTCCACTGAGTTTAGACTAAGATCATACAGAGTCAACTGAGCACATTACATACCATCTAATTCGCTGCCACCCGTCATGTTGATCCAGGAATCTTTCTACGATGTGCCCACCAAGACGGATGGAAATGGTACTATGCGTATGTAACCAAATGACTCCAAGACCCCAATAAAGATTTATCTGCTTATCACAAATTGGTCAGGTATCTACGTGTTCCATCCCACTATTCCTGGATACCCCAAGGCTCGATTCCCTGGTGTAGTAGTGTTCAGTGAGATCTACCAAGGTGCGTACACAGCTTCGCGGCACTGGCGACGCCGGAACTGACTGTAGCCAGTGACTGGACCTGTCTCGCGGTTCGCCAGACAGATTGCGGGCCAGGGATACATCTGTGCTGCGCCGTCCAGCTACCACGAATTCACCGGCCCGGAGCCACTGCAGTACAATGCTGAAGATACCGACAAGGGAAACCAGTGGAAAATCAGCAAGGTATGCACCCACAAGCCGAGTCACCATTACGGCAGATCATGTCTGAGCGCTGCTAACCGAGATGTAGAAAATAGCCGCTTACGACGAGGATGCCTCGTTGTGCGTTGACTACTTGCTCTCTCTGCCCACTTGCAATGGCCGGGTAGGCGCAACGGGTATGTGCCTGGGTGGCCATCTTGCGTACCGCTGTGCGTTGGACAGTCGCGTCAAGGCGGCTGTTTGCTACTTTGCGACGGACATCCACAGCAAGACCCTCGGCGAGGGTAAGAATGATGACAGTTTGGCTAGAGCGGGCGATATCAAGGGAGAGCTTCTGATGGTGAGTTGATTTCGTTTAGGTCGACGCTCTGGGATTTGGGGAATAGTCGACAGCTAAGTGACAATGGTTTAGATTTTTGGCAAGAACGACAACCATGTTCCACCGGAGGGTAGAGACCTGATCCGCAAGACCCTGCATGAGAAGGGGGTACTGTTCAGCTTCTACGAGGTCGCATGGGCTCAACGTACGTTATATTATGACACTCTGCTGTTAATAATCAGTTCCAAGGTGGTGCTAACGGAGAGCCCCGACAGATGCATTCATTCGAGATGAGCTCAGCAAGGGGCGGTATGACCCCGCCATTACCAAGGTATGCTTCGAGATGCTGCTCGAGTTGTTCGGACGGACATTAAAACTGGACCTGGGCGAACACGATGGTAAGAAATTGGAGATCGAGGATGTATGCTAGATTTCTCTCAATGCGCCAATAAGAGTGCATCTTACATGAAGATGTTCTGGCCCTGCCGCTGTCTACGGCCGTCCGCCACAATGACACCTCTTGGGCCGATGTATTCGGCGTTACAGGCTCCCCGCAATAATAATAATCTGTGCCGAGTTGAAGACCAGACAGTTGGAAACAAACGGCCCGCTTGCTATCATCCTTGATAGAGGTGAACTTTCGGAGTAGCTGCCTATATCGATCGTTGAACAAGACAAATGGGAAAGCATTCACTAAGTACAACACAGCATAACACTGGTATGGGGAATGGAACCCTTCAGCCATAAGAATTGCTCTTGAGTAAATTCAGGTATAAACAGGTATATATTCCTGAAGCTATACACCGTATCGCCGACTCCGGGACTTCTGAATCGGCAATTCCAAAGATCAACCCATACAGCAACCTGGTCTACGAAGAAGCGCAGCTTGAATCATCCGACCTCATCGACTTGGAATTTATAAACGATAGCAGTAACCCAGGCAAGGTACGAAATGTGACCGGTGCCTTAGGCATTGGACTGAGTAGGATGATGATCATCAGTGATGTATGGCTTCAAAAAGCAAGGAGTAGACCACTATCTATTCCGTATCCCATACGGCATACCCCATGGAAAGAGGGAGAAGATACCTTGGGAAAATCGGGAGGCTGATGAGGTGTAACTTGTAAGACAGTCGGTGTGGTCAGTCAGTTACAATACCGTATTTTGGCAGGCCTCATCACAGGTAGGTAAGGTAAGATATTATGTTACTTTTGGGGAGTTTTGTTGCTTTTGTCTTGTATTGGTAGAGTCTGTGTACTGAAACCACGCGAGTAGGTTCTACAGGAGGTTGGGAAGGACATGTCGATTGAGAGACAACTGCAGATACAGTACTAGCTACTCCGTAGTAGCAGGCATAACTTCATACCGTAATTTGCTGGTAAACCTGACTCTGACTGTACTTTATCCCTAGGTTGAGCTCTTTGTGCAATTGAACTGACTGCATGACAAGTAAAATTACCTTAGAGTTTGATGTATCAAATCAGGGACGAGTAGTGCAGGCACCAAGAATAGAAAACCGGGGAAATCAAAACAATCCATGGACGAAGATGGAAGAACTTCCTTGGTACAATCCAAGCACAGCTCGACCAACCACGGTTGAAGGACAATATTCTGTCTAGTGGTCTGTTATTGTCAAGGTGCCTTGATCATCAAGTTCTGGCAGGAGAAACATCTCCAACCTCGATGAATCAGACCAAGCTCCAGGATCATGGAAGGAATTCAAGAAGGTATGGAGTATCAGAGTTCTCTCCATACGTAGTTGGCGCTCAATTAGCCCAAGACCCCAGCCTGCTCAATTATTGCTTCGTCTGGAGTGTTTGGTCCTTGAGTCAAAAATCTTCAGGAAGAAATCCAATTATGGCCCGTTAGAATTCACTAGTATTGATTCATAGACAGTATCATTTTATTTTATTTATTTTTTTGGGGACTGGATATGTAGTCTATGGCGTCCGATTTATCTTCTCTACTCCGCGCTCTGTAGGCTACTGTTCCCGCTCATCGACGTTAATTGTCCTGATGGTGTTTTCGCTCTAAGCCACCTCGTGTCAAGTTGACCTGTACAGCCATTTCTCCATCTTCAGTTCCACTTCCTTTCTTCGACATATTGTCTACTCGCATACGGAGTATATTCTTGCATAATCTGCCATCGTTCACGTCCTGTTGCATTGCCCTCGTGGATGACAACAATCTTGCAGCCTCAGTTACGGACGCTTTGGAGCTGCAATTGACTCACGATCTGCCCACCACGGTTTTCATCGATTAAATCTCCTCACTTTTGGCTGCAAATAATAACAAAATTTGTGCTCTTCGTCTTGGACTTGCAGAGACTTAATTGACACAACGATCAACATCATAATAATCCCACGGTTACTGCCTTGTTTCAGCTTTGCGACGGGAGCCATTGTCAACGGCCTGGTCTGGTCCCTTAGCGTGGGTCCCAGGGAAAAGAGAAGCTAATTTAACTACCAGCAAGACCACCATCGAGGCGCGCGGAATCTTGTCCACGGTCATCCAAGTCCTTTTGCATGGTCAATCGCTTCAACGGTCGGTGAATCATGGGTTCTACACAGTTTGGGAATTTCAACGTGAGTCTGCCGACGGAATTGGATACGTCTACTGGTTGCGCGAAAGGGGAGTTAACCAAGGGGGATTTTCGCGAACAGGACTTTTGCAGAGATTCGACCTTGCCAGTTTGCAATGTGAGTTGGTCAATTTCATTCTCAGGCGATTTTCCATATAGGAATCTTGTCACCATAGGACTGCAGCTTGCTGACTGCGATTGTTCCTCGATAGCTCTTTGTCGCCCACAATCAACCTCCTAATGAAGCCTACGACGGCTGTGCCCTCACCGGGATTGACCTGGGAAATCATCGATATCTCAGCAACTTAGGTATGGAACGATGGATAGGACGACACGGAGACGAGTCGCGAATTGCGAGACTGATATCGGTGCAGGATCGATACTGCTGGCATTCATATCCATCTTAGTATCGCTCTTCCTATTATGGAGATCGGAACGGAAAAAGGCCGCGGTTGGGCGAAGGTACGCGGCTAAACAGGGACTGTGAAAGGCATGGACAGGGCTGACGAGTAATACTGTATAGGGAAATGCAATTGTTCCTTCTTGGCTTCATTATCGTCGAGATCTGCGAGATCTTCACCGTGGGCGGTTTTCCTCTTGACAGCGCGGTGCTGAAGGTATGTTTTCCCTGTTCTGGTTGACGCCTTGCTTCTATTGGACACAACTGAGGGGTGCGCATAGGGGTTTACGGCAGTTCATATCGCTGCGATCACCGCGACTTGCTGGATTCTCTTCTTGAACGCTCTTGTCGGGTTTCAGTTCCTTGACGACGGTACACCCGTTTCGCTCGGTCTCTGTGTTGCTTCTGCCCTTGTGTTCTTCATCGGTACCGGTTATATCGCCCTAGATACTGCTTTCGACTGGACCGGAGAGTTCGCGACGAACCCATCTAATCACTATCGAAATATCGCCCTCTACGTACTGTACCAGCTCTTCCCCCTCGTCCTCCTCGTGGCGTTCTTCATTCTGGAAGCTGTCTTGGTGATCCGCGTCCTGGGCGAGTTCCGGCCAATGTGTACGT